TACACTTGGAAAATGTAAAAATTGAAAATTTGGAGAAAAACTAATTTTTAGGGCTCTTCATTGATGAAAATGCAAAATTTGATTCCCATGTTGACTACTTATATAAAAGACTAGCAGCAGGATGTCATGTAGTGAAAGTTGTTGCAAGAGAGTTAGACACTACTATCACAAGATCAGTTTATTTTGCACAAATTGAGTCCTATTTACTTTATAGAATTTGTTTCTGGGAAAATTGTGCACAATTTCGTTTCAATATGGTATTCTCTCTACAAAAAAGATCCATCAGATATTTATGCAAGGCTAGCTACAGGGATTCATGCCGCCCATTATTTGTGAAGCAAAAAATTCTGATCTTAGTATGTCTTCTCATTTTATAAACAGTGCGTCTTATCCACAAAAAATATAAAAATCCCTTTAAATGTTGAATGCATTATTCCATTCCTCTTTTTTAAGTATTCAAACAATTTTTTAAAGGAAAAGGTTGAAATGATAAGTTTAAAATGCGTTGTTTTAGAGCTCTTTTATGAAAACTACTTGATTTTCGTCAGGAGGAGCATTCCCCATTGGCATGTAGCTTTGTGTAAACAAGTTATTGAAATCAACACGAAATGGCTATCAATGTTCATCAAGTAGCATTATATATTTACATTTACTCAATATTCATATATACATTTACTTTGCCAATAAGATGTTCAGATCTTTGGTAATAAAGCATATTTTGACTTAACTTGATTTGTGCCAAGTCCAGATTTGCTTTAAAAAGTCATAACACTGGTGACGAATCATCGGTAAATGGTTACGTCATCGAAACCAAGTTCCATCGCCCAACAAAAGAGCCAAGACCAAAAAAACAACGCCAAATCGATCAAATTTTGAGATTTTGCTCACTGTTTTCTTCGATTACCATGGCATAGTACATGGTACATAGTATATGGCATAGTACAGTACATGCCACAGTATTATTCCCCAAAACAACAGCGTATTCATGCCTAAGCCACCATATTCACCAGATTTGGACCACTGCGACTTTTTTCTGTTCACAAGATTAAAGAGACCTATGAAAGGACGGCGTTTTGCGACGACTGAGGAGATGAAAACCGCATCAGAACAGCTTCGAGAATTGAAAAAAACGCTGAGAAAAATGAAAATCAACCCTATTTCACGAACAGACAGTTGATAACGGAATTCTTGGAATGCTTCTTGTACTTCTTCCTCTTTTTTTTTCAATTTGTATCGACAATTCCTACAGATTTTTTGTTCTCGACTGGAAGTAAAATATTATTACTAATATCACTATTATCATTAATATCACTATTTATTCAAAAGTGTTCATTATTTGGCACATTTGTGAATAATAACTATGCATGTGATTAGAGTTTTTTAAAGTTAGTTTAATATTAAGTTGTATAATTTCCACTATAAAGGTTTTTACAATGACCGCAAAACACATGTTTCGCTATACAATAGCTTCCTTGAGCTATTGTATCTCACAATACAATATCATAATACAATACCACAAAACAATACATTATCTACAATAGCGAAACACGTATTGTCTTTTTCTAAAACTGTTTAGTAAAAACCACATAATTGAATAGCGAAACACGTGTTGTGTTTTAGTAAAGCTGTTTAGTGAAAATCTCACAATACAATATCCCAATACAATACACAATGTCACAATACAATACACAATAAAATACAATATTTACAATAGCTAAACACGTGTTGGGTTTTTCTAAAACTGTTACGTGAAAATCTCACAATACAATACACAATACAATATCCACAATAGCAGAACACGTGTTATGTGTTTGTAAAACTGTTTAGTAATAATCTCACAATACAACATCACAATACAATACACAATATCACAATACAATATCTATAATAGCAAAACACGTGTTGTGTTTTTGTAAAACTTTTTACTGATAATATCACAATACAATATTTACAATAGCTAAATACGTTTTGGGTTTTTCTAAAACTGTTTAGTGAAAATCTCACAATACAATATCACAATACAATACACAATATCACAATACAATATCCACAATAGCAAAACACGTGTAATGTGTTTGTAAAACTGTTTAGTGATAATCTCACAATACAACATCACAATATATATATAATAGCAAAACACGTGTTGTGTTTTTGTAAAAATGTTTAGTGACAATCTCACAATACAACACACAATATCACAACACAATATCTATAATAGCAAAACACGTGTTGTGTTTTTGTAAAACAGTTTAGTGAAAATCTNTTCACAATACGATTTTTTGTCATAAAATAGGATCAAATATAGATTATGTTCCTATTACTACTACTACTGACTGTTTCAATTTTCGATAAAAAGGTTATTGAAATTTCATACTTGCTCAACCTTGTATATTGAAATTTCGTTTATAAATTAACTTTTCCTTATGAAATATTCACCGAAACGGCAAATATTTTGCATAATTTATTCTCCTTTCATTTTATGATTAGTATTGTGTTGAAACAGAATACGATTTAATGAAAGTAGCAAAGTTTTAACGGAAGGTCATGCAAAACTATAAGGTTAGCATGGCTACAAAATTATCAATTCAAAAAATGGTGCTGGGTGTTTTCCAAACTACAATCTTAAATAATGTGTCTGGATGATGAACCAGGATTTCCTTTGACAATGATCAACAATAGAGTTTCCCAAACGTTATTTCGCAACCCAGTTCGAGTGTTGTTGATTCACAAGAATCCACCAAGAAAATTAAGGATGTAATGGAAGGAGACGGTGAGATTTTAGTATCTTTTGACATATCTTCATTATTTCCAAGTGTTAGGTTAAGTCCAAAGTGACCCTCCACCGCAACTCGCAAGGGTTTATTGTGGCTTACACCATCCAGACCAAAGACAATCTGTTAAGTCTTCCTATCGAGGAGAGTCTCCTTTGGCAATTTGCTACCAAGCCAAGAGCTTTCAACGCCGCTTGACTATTCGAGAATATTTTTATTGACTTGTGTATGAGGTTGGATTCTTTCAATCTCCAATTTCCAAGAAATTGAAGCGGATACATGGAAGATGTATTTGCTATTTTCGACACGAAAAGAAAAAAGTTATCAAGGAGATGGCTTAAAGTAACGGGTATCCTTCAAACATAGCACATAAGTTAGGTAGGGAGAGAAAATTTAAACAGTATTTTAGTAAATTTTTTGGCTTTTCAAAAAGGCCATGATTCAAAGTGTATAGTTTTTCCATACACTATATACACTAACGAATTGGTTCAAATTTTTGACAAACTCAACATTAAAGTGGCTTTCAAAACTGCTTGTTCACTTCAAACAGCATCGGGCATCGGAAAGACAAGACTTGTGATAAGGAAAAGTCTGGGATGTACGAAATAAGCTATGAGGATTGCGATAAAAAATATGTTTGAAAAATTAAGCGGACTGTAATAGCTCGCTACAAAAAAAAACGTTTTACATTCCAGAGTTGCTCAAATCCATAGCAAAACGGCCATATATACAATAAATGTGGAATGATTGAAACTGTTGGTACATGACAAGACATTTTCAGATTCCTTTGACAAAGCTTAAATACCTGACAGCCCTCTTTTCACTCTCAGATAGAAAACAGGTAAAGATTGATATCAGTCAGGTAGCAAATAACATTAGGTACTAGAAATACAATAGCATAATCGTTAGAAGAATAGTCTTAATCATCTCCTGACGATTCCAAAACAATCACTTTACCCAATCACCAGAAATGAAATACTCTTCTAGACGCGCGTTTCACCAACCAAACTGGCGTCTTCAGCCAAAGTTACAGCAAACTGCTAACCAGATTGATCAAGTATGTGGTATTTTTCAAAAGGTTAACGACCTTTGAGCTATTACTCAACATTTAAGATTTCAGGAGTTGTCTCCGGCCCAGATAGAGGTTTGATACATTGAAATTCACAGACTGGTGAGTTTTTCAACTGACACCCCGTATTTTATTAATTACTTCATAGAGGAAGTTGTTTCTAAGAGAAAAAACACTGAATTCCTAAGAGCTGTTTTATATGGTTGTGCAGAAAATAATATCAAGGTAATTTTTGTTTCCATCGCTCTGTAATTTAAATTTTCAAATTTTCAATCAGTATCTGTTTATTTAAAAGACACAACCATTATTTTATATGAGTATATTTACTCAAAGTACAGCTGCAACTGTATATTTTTCTGATTTATTTGGTGGTCAATAAGTTTAAAAAAATGTAATATCATTATTTAAACCCGATCGGGTCGTTTACCTTGAGCTTAGATTCTACAGAGTCCACACTTGACCACTTATCAAGCCCTCAGGTAAGTGATCTTTGGGTTGGAGAATCATATGCCCTGTGATCACCCTACTCTTCAAGTTACTCAGATAATATGGTATAATTAAAATTCATTCGCTTATAAGTTATCTCAAACTTTTTAATCCAAATTTGAGAGAAAATCCCATTGTAAGAAAAATTCAATTTAACGATTTATTTTCTTACATAATTCGTTAACAGAAGTAATTTTGTAAAGTAAGTTATATCCTTTATTAAAGACAACAAAGTCTTCAATTTTATATGTAATAAAACATATTTCTTTTTTAACTAAACTGAATATGAAAATTTGTTAGTCATTTTCAATTATGTTTCGATATGGCTACATTTTTAAATGTGGTTGACAATGTTTTGTGGTGTATTTCATCAGTTCGGACTTCCATTGTCTAATATAATATAAATTGATTAGAAATCCATGAAAAAAATTAAAAAGATTAACCGAAAATAACAATTTTATTAAACAAAAAATTAAATTACAAATAAATAACATACAAGCAACAACCAAAAATATAATAAAAAATTNTAACCTTTGTTTCTTTTCACAGGTTAGCTGCTTGTTCGATAAAAAATGAGCCACAACATTGGTTCCTCATTTGAAATGGTATTGTCATAAAAACAACGCAACAAGTTTCACAT